ACAGTATACTCTGTGAAGCTACTTGAGCCGTCTCGGAAGATGTGATAAGGAGCTATATCAAATGCAAGTATTATTATTATTATATTCATCAATTTCCACTGCAACAAAAACAAGTCTACTCACACACTGTACATGCATGGTTCATCTTAAGTCACAATCCAGCATTTTATTTCTGGCTGCCTTAGTTTTCCAAACTTAACTTAAAAAAAGACACACCCACAAACTGAATATAAAGGGGCAGTTTCCATAACACAGAAACCTTTGGCTCGATTGTGAATAAATAAAATGAAATTAAAAAAACTGTCACTTTCCATAAACCATAGAAACTTACAGCACACAAGGGGATTCAGCCATTGCGTGTGACAGCCTTGAGCAGAAGTACCGTTAATTCAAATGGGCACAATCACCTCAAAATTACAAATCCCACTCAGCATCTGCTGAATAGATAACAACAAAACACTTATTCCTACTAGAATACTCAATTTCAATGATTCTATTGGACTACAAAGCTGTCCGATTGTCTTCTTGAGTTACCAGATCACCGTCTCATAGATTGTACTCCAATTCTACTTGTTCTGTTTTTGCAACTTAAATTAAGTATCACTTAGCACTAAGCAAGGTGTATTAAATGCTGAAACAATTAAGTATAATGGCTTAAAGAAATCTTGTGTTAGATTTTATTAAACTTGCCAGTCTAATTTTTGTTTAACTTTGGTAAAGAGCCAAAATGCACCATAAGAAAGAGCAAAGAAACCACACAGATCCAAATGAAGCGGTTAAGCAACACTGTGCTTGGTGCTTTGAGATGCCTAGCCTGCATAAAAGGTGCTGTATTGCTGATGTCTTAAAAGCCTGTAGATTTAGCAGGAAAGCAAGTGTGAAGGACGGAGGAACTGTAGAAATTGCTTTTGTGGTTGTAAATCTTGAAATCACATATGTAGAGACACTGTCACGTTGACACTGAATATACTCTATGCAACCAATCCTGTACAATTTCTGTAATCACCAAACTGATATCCTATTGAAAGCAGGACTTCAGAGTGTGTATTGGTGTGTTGCTGGAATTTAATCAGCTAAACCTGTGCAGTTTTTTAAGCAAAGTACATTGCCATGATACTTAAGCAAATTTAGAATTTCATACACCACTTTTGATAGTGATTTGGTGCAATATGTATCACAGACCAAAAAAATAGGTGCCAAACGAGCACGCAAGACTGGTTATTTGCGTTGAACAGAAACATAATAGAGTTGAGAAAGAATAATGAAAGGCACAAGACTGGTATCATAACAAGCCTGAGGGAGTACCATATACAGAAACCATTAGTATGGTGACTATTTCAACAGAGAGAGGAGGTCAAGCCAGAAAAAAGTCAGTATTTGATATAGCACCTTGCCACATTATCAAGACATCTCAAAGTGCTTCACAGCATTTTACTGTGATGTGTAGTGACTATTTGTAGATGAATGAGGCAGGCAATTTAAGCACAGCAATGTCCTACAATCAGCCTTGAAGTGAAGTAAAAATATTTTGATCCCTGTACATATCAATGCCGAATAACATGTTAACATGAAAAGGGTTAGGGGTTAGGTCTGAAATAAGAAGCTATACTTTATTTATTGGTTATATATCTGCATGTTATCCGCCATTGATTTTACAAGCTAATCCTTTATTATTTAACAGTATTTTGCCAATTTTATGATTTGTAAACCTTTAATATTTGTTCTATGGTGGCTTCAAATAAACAAAAATAATTTTACAGAAATCTTAGATAATGCTGAAAAATTGTCAATTTCTCAATATGCTAATGATGTTGTATTAGGTGAGACATTGTTTAACAAACATTTATTTTCTTTCATAAATGCACTAGCTTACTTTTTTATTATCTATTTCTCATCAACATGAACACATAATATTGAATAAAAAGAAATGATGGGTCTAAAGTTCTCCTGTCATCTGGACAACTCATTGCTGAAAGCAAACTTTAATTAGCTCATTTAATTGTGAAGGGAAATCAGATTGTAAAATGTAAAATGTAAAATGAGCAAAACTTTAGCTCAACAGTTAAATATATGAAGCACAGATTTAATTGTTGTCAGACTAAACTCATTTCTTATTCCTTATGTGGTAAGTAGTTTTTAATTAAACATCCCACACCTCTTCTCTTCCATGCGTTTAATCCTTAGTTCAAAACTACAGCCTCATCCTATATCGTCAGGCTGGCTCTGTTAGTAGCACTCTCACCCCTGACTCAGGTTGTGAGTTCAAAGCCAATGAATCATAGAATCATAGAATTATTCAGCACAGAAGGAAGACATTCGGCCCATTGTGTCTGTGCTGGCACTTTTAAAGGAGCTATCCAAATCAATCCTGCAATGGAAATAGTTTCTCTTTGATCACCTTATCGAATCCCTCATAATTTTAAAAACTCCTATTAAGTCTCCTCTTAACCTTCTCTGCTTCAAGGAGATTAATCTTAGCTTCTGAACTTCTCTGAAGTCCCACATTCCTGGTAAATCTTCTTTGCACCCTCTCCAATGCCTTAACATTCTTCCTAAATTGTGGTACCCAGAAGTGAACACAGTACCCCAGCTGAGTCCTAAACAGTGTTTTATAAAGGTTCACCATAACTTCCTGACTTTTGTATTCTATGCCCCTATTTATAAAGCGTAGTATCCCATATGCTTTTTTAACAGCTTTATCTCCTGCCACCTTCAAAGATTTACTTATATGAACCCATAGGTCTCTCTGTTCCTTCACTCCCTTTAAGGACTGTGGAGTCCTGTAGCTCAGTGGTTAGAGCACTCACCTTGCGAGCGAGACACCTGGGTTCAATACCAGGTAGGGCGAAAGCTTGGGCAAGTTTCCTTACTCCACACGCCTAATAATAATCCCTCCAAAACAAAACAGTAATAAATTGGGTCATTTTCAATCCACGACTGTTTGTGGGACACTGATGTGCGCAATTGGCTGCCGCGGTTAACCCACAAATATACAGTCAATTCACTTTCCAGCATATTCTGTGAAGAGCTTTGAGACGTCTAGAAGACGTGAAAAACGCTATATCGAACGCAAGGATTATTATATTATTATTAAGATTATACCATCAGCTTATATTGCGTCTCCTCATTCTTCCTACCAAAATGCATCACTTTGCATTTCTCCATGTTAAACATCATCTGCCACATGTCTGCCCATTTTACCAGTCTGTCTATGTCCTCTTGCAGTCTGCTACTATGCTCCTCACTGTTTACTACTTTTCCTAGCGTAGCATCGTCTGGAAACCAGTTCTGTATCCATGCGGCCACTGTCCCTTTAAAACCGTGGGCTTCTATTTTGTTTACAGACGGGACTTCGGTTTAATGTCTCACATGAATGGCGCACAGGATTTTGAACTCGTATAGTGTAGGCTGACATTCCAATGTGTCAACTGTGGGGGGGGGGTGTTACATTGTTGAAGGTGGGTCTTTCATATGAGACGTTAAACCAAAGTCCCGTCTGCCTGTCCAGGTGGACATTAGAACATGCCATGACAGTATTCGAAAAAGGGAGCTTCTCTTGAGCTTCCCCAAATAAAAATTGGCCATTCACTTACATGGCTGTTTGTGGGACATTACTGTGTACAAAATTGGCTGCTGCGTTTGACTAGAAATACACAGTCAATACACTTCACGGTATATCCTGTGACATGTTTTGAGACATTATCCCAATGTGAAAGTCGCTATGTTCTGTAATCGTGTAATTCTGTTTATTCCCGTATTTAATACTAACTTTTCAGTTTCAGTGCGGAGTTTTACTAAAACTGGTCACAGTTATGCCGTTTATATTTACATTTGATTCTGCTTGCATTTCCTCAAAAAACATTCCCTGGACCCATCCCTGTTCTCCAATTACCGTTCCATCTCCAACCTCCTTTCCAAGTTCCTGGAACGAGTCGTTACTTCCCAGCTTCACTCCTTCCTCTCTCGCCACTCCCTCTACAAATTCCTCCAATCAGGTTTCCGTGCTGCCCACAGCACAGAAACAGCCTTGGTCAAAGTGACATATGACATTTTGTTCATCTGTGACCAGGGCTCTGGCTAATCATCCTCCTGCTGCCTTTGACACTGGCGACCACTCTATCCTCCTCCACCGCCTCTCATCTCAATCTTCATGGTGCTGTCCTTGACTGGTTCAGATCCTACCTTTCACACTGCCTCCATTTTGTCTCCCAAACGGCTTCTCCTCCAGCAGCCTCATGCGGTGTTCCTCAGGGCTCTGTCCTTGCTCCTCTCCTCTTCAACATGTACATGGTTTCTCTTGGTGACATTATCCGCAGACATGGGGTCAACTTCCACATGTATGCAGATGACACTCAACTCTACCTCTCTGCCTCCATCCTCGATTCCAGGATAGAATGTCTGTCAGACACCAACTCCTGGATGAGAGCTAACTTTCTCTCGTTCAACATTAACAAGACCAAGGCCCCCCGATTGGCTCCTGTCAGTACCTCCACACCTCAGGCACTGACAGCATCACCATCTATGGATGCACACTCTATCTCAGTGAGCCAGTCCGGGAACCTTATGGCCTGGTTTGACCCTCACTGTCCTTTCTACCCCACTTCTGTGCCATGACCTGTTCGCCTTCCCCAACCACTGCAACATCGCCCGGCTCCGCCACTGCCTCTTCTCCCAGGCCGCCGAATGTTATTTACAGGCACAATTCTTTTTAAAAAAACAAAATGTGTAGAAATAAATATGAAGGGAAGAGAAACAACTGTATGATTAGGCTCACTCCATGTTCGATCAATAGATGTCAATCAATTAATGCTGCATATTCTAGAAGCAAAATTTTCAGTTGTGTGCAGTGGATAGAAAAGATATGTTTAGTTCATCATTCTCGATTTCAATGGCCTAAAAAAACTTAGATAGAATTTTGCGAAGGAAAACAATGAACAAAGTGTCTCATCTTCATACTTTCCTACAAATTATAATCTTCGGTATTGATGCCAATATCTTACCTTTGTTCATATCAATGAGTTGTTTCTTCTTTTGCTGCCGTTCCAACTTCTCCTTTTCTGCTTTCTCCTTTGCCAGTTTCGCTCTCTTGATCTTCTCCTCTGTCTCTCTTCTTTTAATGTTTTCTTTCAGTGCATCCTGCATCACAAACCAATAACAGTCTTGGTCAATGATGCATTGGAAATAGTTCCTACTGCTCAGTTTGTGATTATATCCTCACATTTTAATAACATATAAAAAATAATCCTTGCATTTCATACAGAACCTTTAACATCGAGAGGATATCTCAAAGTACTTCACAGGGTTCACTATTTTAAATGCAGACATGGCTATAAAAGCCTTCTGCTAGCTGGGGTGTATGATTTCAGAATGTGGTTCCAGCACAAAGGGGTTAGAAACAGCTACTCACTGATGGTACAGTTTCAATACTCTCCAACTGTCGTACTGACAAGCTTCACAAGAGTATTGATTTTACATATAAAGGTTTACTTGTGATCCAGAATGATGAAACAGAGTATAGAATTTTCCACACAATTTATACTTGTAATTGTATAGAAATGAGATTGAGAATGGGATCGCAATACTCTTCTATACCCACTCCCAAACACACACACACACACTTGAAGCAAATAGATTAACCAGTTAGAATTCAGTTTCTGCATCAGGAACCATAATGTTTCCTACTCAATATGAGAAACAGCAAGAGATTTACATCAGATATTTACACCAACTCAGCGTGAACTTTTTGCTTTGCTACCTCAAACAATTCAAAGATTGTGGGAGATTTTTTCTGAACTACAAACTGAATAAGTTACAAGATATCATTCATACATGAACATTCTGTATGTGTGAAATGCTAAACTTGCAGCAAATAAAAATTTGCTTCTCTTATAAATTGTGTCTAAAAAATCCCCAATACATAGTTACAGTAAAAACACAATAAAATTTATTAGCTTAATGAGCATGGATCATTGACTTCAGCAACACTAACTATTGTATTAGATGGAGGTGGGACCTTTAGCTGCCAATGACTACAATAGTTGTCTCAAAAGGGATTGCACTTTTGTTGCACATGTGGATCAAAACCACCATTTCTGATTATGCTTCACAATAATGTGTTCATTACCTTTGTCTGTCATTAATATTAGGGCTTCCATCAATAGATTAAGTGTGCTGTAAGAGAATGCCTTAGCTAACAGTTTGTGCAATAAAACAATGTTTATACCAACTTTATACTGAAATTGGTTCGATGCTTCATTAAAAAAAGGACTATTCAAATGAAAAACGTGAAATAAATCACACTAAGCTTTCAGAAATACTGATATAGGAAAATGAGTTATTAAGATTGAACATGTCGTTTCCATTTGATTTCAGACATTTTATTGCTGTGTACAAAATGACAGCTATATCAAAAATTAATGAAACCCTTGAAAATAATAAAATAATAATCCTTGCATTTCATATTGCGCTTTTCACGTCTGCTAGACGTCTCAAAGCGCTTCACAGAATATACTGTAAAGTGAATTGACTGTATATTTGGGGGCAAAACGCAGCAGCCAATTGCGCACAGCAGTATCCCACAAACAGTCGTGGATTGAAGTGACCAATTAATTACTGTTTTTTTCTTGAGGGATTAGCATCAGGTGTGTGGAGTAAGGAAACTTACCCAAGGTTTCACCCTGCTGGGAATCGAACCCAGATATCTTGCTTGCGAGGCGAGTGCTCTAACCACTGAGCTACAGATAGAATTTTTAAAAGAATGAAACATAGGCCTTAAATGAATCTCAAATAGCTGCTGTAAATCAACACTGCTAGAAAGTTAAAAAAGGGTGTAAAATCAATACAGCAAATGTGCGTGAGAACTGTGGCATGTTTATGCTGAATCCCATTGTAATCTAAGATGAATATGCAAATCCACATGGTTAAAGTAAATCTGCCTGTTTATACTGCTGCCTCCCAGCAGGGCAGTTCCCCAGTTGTAATTTTTCAGTGCATCCGCATTGCAAGAGCTATATAGTTACGTGCATGTTAGATAATGCACCATCAATTTAATTTTAGACTAGGAAGGAGTACACAATAGGAAGAACAGATTATAAACCAAACGGGTGGATGCTAAGGGCAAAGGAAAATAAATGCACTGTAAATCTGGCGCCGATTTGTATTGCATTGCTTCCAAATGAATTCCAAAATGAACCCTAGTCCAGATTTACATATAAACAGGACTGAAGGGAAACGTTTAATTCAAAATTTGGACAGGGAATCGGACTTCAGTTTTAAGAAGATTTCAGTCCTAACTAGAATATAAATAGAACTCATTTTAACTTAATGTGTTCAGTTCTTCTCTGAATTTTCTACATTACAGCATTACAGCTTTTCAAATAGTTTTGCTGTTTTCTGACCTTTAACACACAAACAGTTGTTCAGTACATTTAATCACATTATGAAAATAGCTATTTCCTCAATACTGAATGTGAGAATTGCAAATAGTAAATCTATAGTTGGTAAAGTTCTTTTTGCTTGCTAGACTCTTACTGGTTTATTCTTGCTTGGAGTTCAGAAATAATTGGAAACGGCAATTAGTGCAACACATTCATGACTGAATGGAGGCGCTCGACACACAGAAAGCCTGAGTGAATGCATTCAGCGGCGACCAGCGGGGCATTTTGTCTGGATTAACCGGAATTTCATCCGAATCAACTGGCATATTTAAAACGGGTAACAATACAAATAAATTGGGCCTGGACTTGTGTTCGATTTACCCAACATCCGGAATTAACCAGGGTCTGCCTAAGCGCATTCCACTCTATTTTATAAAATACAAAAAGAATGACATCAAGCAAGTGAAAGGAAATTGATCAGGAACTATGTACATCTGCACAAACAAGTCGTAACAAATATGCGTCAGTACATACACATTTGTGGTTGCAAAGAATAAAATGTAATTTGAAAATATTGACAAGAATCATAAAAAAAACAAGAACTTTGGTGGAAGATCATACGTTGATTATCTTAGTTATGCAGAAGTGCACCATGTCATATCAGGTCAAGGGCTTTCAAGTGCCCAAGGTAATTACAAATGAATCATTGAAGCCTTCAACAGACCAGTACCAGAATACTGATGTTCAGGGATAAGGCTCGATCTTTCAAATTGATAGATAAGTTGGAAATTTACCATATGCTCCATACCTTTAGATAGTACAACAGCGGGACACTATGTATAATCATTAAGATACAGTCAGCAGAACTGCAGAAAAGTATGACAGTAAAAGATGCAAGTGAATCAAGTGAGCAAGCTGTTCTTTTGTGTTAGCACCTGGTTCATGGCTATTGGAATTGAAAGAAAGCAGAATCACACTTTATATTGACATATACCAGATCTGTCACAATGTTTTGTGTTACGCTGCTTTTACATTAAAAGGTTGTCTCCAGAGGCAAGGTTATCTTTTTCGGCAACTCTGAAGGTAAAATGGCCAGTTTCCTGTACGCATAATTTCCTGTAACTCCAGGCTTCGGGACCACATCACTCCCACCCTCGCTCGCCTCCACTGGCTCCCCATCCCCCAGAGGATCGATTTCAAGATCCTCATCCTCACCTACAAGGCCATTCACGGCCTTGCTCCCTCCTACCTCTCTGACCTACTATCCCCCTACCTACCCGTACCCTCCGTTCCTCTGGCTCCGGTCTGCTCCACATCCCCCGCCCCAACCGCCCTACCATCGGTGGCCGGGCCTTCAGCCTCTCAGCCCCTAGGCTTTGGAATTCTATCCCCCAGTGCCTTCGCCTTCCCTCCTCCCTTTCCTCCTTCAAGGCCGGTCTCAAGACCTTTCTCTTTAACCGAGCCTTCGGCTCCCCTCTCGACTCTCTACCCCCTCCTCGCTCCCTCCCTTCCCTCCCCTCACCCTGACCATTTCTCCCCTGCTCGGGTTCTGTCCCAACTGTATAGCGCCTTGGGATGTCCTCCTGACGTGAAAGGCGCTCTATAAATGGAATCTTGCTGTTGTTGTGAAGTTGGATTTCCTGTTATCTGCCCAAATAATGGTAATGGAATCATGAAAAAGGGTCAGAGCAAATCGCATGATATTCAGATTTTATCATCTTTGCAAAGATTATAAAAATAAAAGGTAGTTTGTGGGGTTTCGTGTTATTTTTAATAACATTAGGGATTGCACTGAACTACAGAATGAGTTATCACTAATTGTCTGGAAGTTGGAAGATAATGTAAGAGGCAAACGTTTAACACCTTATTTCAAGTTCCGAAATATAAAATGGTTTTATACGTTGCAAACATGCTAGCTGCAGTAGCTGCGAACTATAAACGCATAAGGGAGGCAGACAATTCTTTTTTGAGCTACAGCCATTCTAATGAAAAACTATAAATGACAATATTTCAGTTAATGTTGTGATTTACACTGTCTGCATTTGCAAATAATGTGTCAAAGTCATTCAAAACCCAAGCAATGTAAATGCTGGGCTGAATTTCAATAATAGCATTTACTTGGTCTGCATTTCAGGAGCCAAATCAAGAAATATTGTGCAATATCCAAGATTGCTGTATATAGAAGAGCATTACTGAGATGGGTGATGTGGGGGAAGATGAATGGAGAAGAAAAATATTTCAATTGAAAACTATCGATTTACAATCAGAGACTCATAGCTGCGATGACTTAAAAATATTAACTGTTCAGGTGAAAATGACTGGATTTTTTCAATTACAGTTGCTTTTTTGCAATCCCTTACATCTTGCAGGTGTTGAGCCTCAAACATGAGCAACTTGATTGACACACATCAGCAGTAGGTTAGTTGAGTGTTTCATTCAAAGAGTTGGGATGCAAATTGTGGGACTTTGCAAGCAACAGCATTGTTGCAAGCCTAAGTGCAGAAGACACTCTAAAAATCCTGCCTGTAACCTATAATTAAATTGATTGATTAAGTTACAAACACTGAGATATTAGATGTTACCCGCCATGCATAAACCCTTACCTGAATGAACAAATATGCAATTACAATAGAGAAATGTAATCGATTAACCTTTTGGAAGCTACAATGGGATTTTTGCATAAAATAAAATAAATGAATGTTACTATACGTTTTAGATCAGCCCATCAGTGGCCATGCCAGACTCGGGCAGTTTAACACT